CTAAGTCTTCCTACCAATATGAACATGTTGCGAAAACAAGGTCAAACAACCTCTTACATTTTTAGCTCGATTTCGGCCTTAGCTGAAACGTCTAGTCCACTCTGAAGAAATAAAAGAGTGCACAAACCCCACTCGATCAACATTGAGGCCTCAAATGTAGACGAGATGTATGATAGTTTCAACGTCAAATTAGCGTTGTCTCTCACTTCACTAGCATTTGTGCTGGTTCATACACAGATTGAGTTCACATATCACAACATATGAACCCGTCTCTTCCAGCGGAAATGGGCATAGCCCCTTCATCCATTTTCAATGAGATACGTCACTTTCGTGGGGGTTAATCAAAGACCTCTTTCTTACTGGGCTCTGGAATCAGGGCTCTGTCGGCAGGGTTCACTTGTTCAGGCGAGACTTATTATCTCCATGGCACAAACTTGTTTGCTATTTTGCCTCTAAGCGGACTTTTTCAAAACTGAACTCATACCTGTTAGGCCGACAGACACACACCAATAAACAAGTGGACACAAGATTAGTCACTAGCACACGCAAACCAGTCGACACAGGGACACACATAGACACAATACACTCATGCTGATGAACATTGCATGCAGGCACAATCACAGACATGCAGATGCTCAGACAGGAACGTATGTGCGGATTGGCATACAAGAATGTATGCGTATGTGTATGTGTGTGTGTGTGTACTTTTCTCCGACGAATGAAGATACATTTCATCTGCTTAATTTGGCCGGCCCCAAATGGTCTCAAATCCCACTACCAAGGGGGCATTAATCTACTTTGCTAAAAGTTGTAGATCGGTAGAAGAGAGAAGGGAGAAAGGGTTGGATGTAAAATCAATTCTCTCCCACGGACTCAACCACAGTGGAAGATGCAGATTAATGAGCATACCAGAAACAAGCAACAGATGGCCTTATCCAGCCCTGGGACTAATGACAAGGACTTGGACAAAACCGTAGACACGTTCAGGTGGTGTGGTAAAGAGAGTATTTTAAAGTAGATTTTCCCCTCTGCATGTGCATGAGCACATGGCTTTTGTACATAATGGGTCCAGCTTCGCTTTGAATATGCCCAGTCAAGTGCATTTGAGCACACTTGTTGGCCTAGTTCCCTCCATAACCTGCATCCGTGCGCAATTATACCCGTATCCATGCACGTGGGCATGCACTTATGTAAGTTTGTGCACAATATGTGTATGTGTGATCTCTCTCTCTCTCTATATATATATATATATATGTGTGTGTGTGAGTCCGTATTTGTGTGTATATGTGAGTCAAAATGTCAGTGTTGGTTTTTGAGTTGGGGTAAGACAAGGCAGTCTTGTTGATGCCTCTTTGGTCGGAGTGTCACACGGCCACTTTGGCTTGCAACACGTTGACCGACTGCAACATGACTGGCCGTTTTGACAGCCAGCTGAATAGGTTCCTCCCATAATGTGGTTGCATGACACTCCAGAAAGAGTAGTCAGGTCATCTTCGTTGTGGTTTTTACCAGTTGTCTGTTTACAAGCGTTGTACCATCAGTCGCGCGTTGCCAAAGCATCCGCCATTACTGGCGGGATAGATAGGCATCTCGAGATTGTAAAGGGATAGCAAGAGACAGCAAGCGATAGAGTGAGAGCATGAATAGACAGAGGAGAGAAAGAGATCAAAGAGCTGAGGCAGAAGGATTTAGGCAAATCTATGCTTCACTGTCAGAAGCCTGAAGAAGACAGCGTGGATAAATGCCATTAAGAATGCACTAGAGGAGCAAGGGAGCTTTTGGTCCGAATCTCGCCATCCAAAGACTCGATGCGCATTGGGTGCATGGTCTATTTCTCACCTGTCAGAAATCCGGATCTTTGACGAATGGTTTTCACGGATTGGAAAGGCATTCACAGCTCGAGTCCCGCGGGCATTGTCACTCGGATTCAGGTGCCCACAAGGCTGCAGCTCAGCCTGAAACGACAGATCATTTTTGGAGCAA